GGCTTGAACTCACAAACCATGAGATCATGATCTGAGCTGAAGTCAGATGCTCAGCCAACTAAGCCACTTGGTGCCCCTGTCGTATATAACTTTTTAATCTGTTTGGAGTATATTTTTGTGGAGTGCAGTATGAGATAGGTATTTTTTTTTAACACAAAGTTAGTCATTTGTTCTAATACCATATATTCCACTTATTTAAAATGCAACTGTTAATATATATAGTAAATTCCTTGTGTATTTTAGCTTGTTTCTGGAGTATTAGGGAGACCTAATATCTTTGCAATTTTCTTATCCACTAGCAAGACTATATTTTCATTTATTCAGGTCTTACTTGTTTAAAACAGGCTTATGGTTTACTTTTATTTCCCTCTGTCTCCTTTCTTTTTTTCTTTTCCAGTTCTTATTAAATGTTGCCTAGAGACTTTACAGTTTTTTGCTGTATAAATTGGACCATCTATGCCCCACCACTGTGATAATTTTATTTGTTGCTGATGTATATTAATGTCACACCCATTAATTGTGGATTATACTTATATAGCCTAATAGTTTTGAAGCTGATTCTCTTAGGTGTTTCAGGTAGATATGCAATATATAAAAATGTGAGGGGTGCCTGGGTGGCTCAGTTGGTTGAGCGTTTGACTTCACCTCAGGTCATGATCTCACGGTTAGTGAGTTTGAGTCCCACATCAGGCTTTGTGCCGACAACTTGGAGCTTGGAGCCTGCCATTTCTCTATCTGTCCCTCCCCTCCTCACGCTCTGTGTCTCTCTCTCAAAAATAAATTAACATGAAGAAAATGTGAATTTATGTTTTCTTAGTATTAATGTGTTTTTTCCTCTCATACAGAGAAATGCTAAATAATAGTGGAATACTTTCTTCATTCCATTCTTTTTTTTGGTAAATAACTTAAAATATCTCCCATTAGCAATGATGTTTGTTCTGTGTCTGAAAAAGTTTTCTTTTGTTCCTTCCAATGAAAGAGTTTTAATTCAAAGAGTGCTAAGTCCGATAAAGTGATTCGGGGGGATTTAATCAAGTGATCATGTCATTTTTTTCACTTTTATCTAATAATTTAATAAATGGTAATGGATTTTTGGGGTGCCTAGGTGCTTCAGTCGATTAAGCATCTGACTCTTGATTTCAGCTCAGTTCATGATCTCATGGTTCTTGAGTTTGAGACCTGCACTGGGCTCCTGGCTGACAGTGCAGATCCTGCTTGGGATTCTGTCTTTCTCCCTCTCCCTCTGCCCCTTCCTGGAGTTCTCTCTTTTGCTCTTTCTTTCACTTTCTTTCTCTTTCTCTGAAAATAAAGACACTTAAAAAAAAGGATAAGTGTGGAACCATCTTTGAATTCATAGAATAATACTTAGTCAAAGAGATATTTAGTATCTTGTTGAATCAATCTACGAACACTTAATATAGGACATTTGTATTTACATTTGACCCTTCAACAGCATGGGGGTTAGTAGTGCCAACCTTGCCTTGCAGTTGAAAATCCACCTATAACTTGACTCCCCAAAAACTTAGTACCTAATAGCCTACTGTTGACTGGCAGCCTTACCAATAATATAAACAGCACATATTTTGTATGTTATATGTATTAAATACTATGTTGTTACTATAAAGTAAGCTAGAGGAAAGAAGATAATAAGAAAATTATAAGGAGCGGGCACCAGGGTGGCTCAGTCAGTTAAGCATCCGACTTTGGCTCAGGTCAAGGTCTCACGGTTCATGAGTTTGAGCCCCACATCAAGGCTCTCTGCTGTCAGCACAGAGCCTGTTTTAGATCCTCTGTCCCCCTCTCTTCTCTCTCTGTCCCTCCCTTGCTTGTGCTCTCACTCTCTCTCTAAAATAAGTTAAAATGTTTAAAAAAATTATAAGGAAGAGAAAATACGTGTACAATACTGTAAAAAAAAAAATACACATGTAAGTGGATCTGCACAGTTCAAAGCTGTGTTCAAGCGTCACCTGTATATTTATAGTGAATTTGGTCTGAGATTATCCTTTTTCTGAACCCTTAGTCTGCATGTTAAAATTATGGACTATAGACTATTTTGTTAGAATTATGCTAGTGTCATGAAATGAGAACATTTTCCAGTTTTCTCTATGCTTTGGAACAGTCAGAAAACAAGGAAGGAACTATCTGTTCCTTGAAGGTTCGATAGAATTAAGTAGCCTCTTATCAGTTGGATCTAGTGCCTTTTTGAGGCATTTATCTTTAGGTTCTTTTCCCATTTCCTCCATGATCTTGGTCTGCTTGGATTTTTTTTTATCATTTCTTTAGTTTTGCTAATTTATATTTCCTTAAAGAGCCATGTATTTCATCTATGTGTTTAAATGTATTAGTACAATATCATACACATTGTTATGATATTTAAAATCTTTGTATCATTTCTCATATGTTCTTAATTTGTTTTGTCTTTTTTTTTTTTTTTGGTAGAATATATGAATGGGGGAGAGGGGCAGAGAGAGAGAGAGAATCTTAAGCAGGCTCCACTCCCAGCATGTGGTCCAGTGCGGGGCCCAAATGGGATCCTGACCTGAGCTGAAATCTAGTTGGAGGCTCAACCTCAACGGACTGAGCCAGCCACACCCTCCTTGTCTTTTTTTTTTTTTTTTTAATTAAATTTAATTAATTAATTAAAAAGAATTTTTTTTTTAACGTTTATTTATTTTTGAGACAGAGAGAGACAGAGCATGAACGGGGGAGGGTCAGAGAGAGAGGGAGACACATAATCTGAAACAGGCTCCAGGCTCTAAGCTTTCAGCACAGAGCCCGACGCGGGGCTCAAACTCACGGACTGCAAGATCATGACCTGAGCTGAAGTCAGACGCTCAACCGACTGAGCCACCCAGGTGCCCCTAATTTATTTATTTTTTAATGAGACTGGATGGTTTGTTTTTTGGCCTTTTTGAAGAATGCGTTTTTCATTTTATTCTATACTATTTTTTTCCTTGTTCACTAATTTCTGTCATTTCAATTTTTTTTGGTTGTTTTCAAATTCTAGAAATGCACTTACAAGTACGTTTGTTTATGACTCCAAAGTGACTGAGGGCGTTGTTTGTATTCGTTATTTGTTACTATATATTCTAATAGGATTGTGAATCCGTTCTTTGAGACTTTAAAATCGGACCATTCTTCTCTTCCTGCTGATATTATATAGGCAGTGCTTTTAAAATTTTAGTGTGCATCAGAATCACCTGCATTAAACAATAGAAAATGTAAATGTTGCCCTATCCCTCACACTTCCTTTTTTTTTTTAAACAAAAATTCCAAAATTCTAATGGTCACTGGGATAAAACCAGTTCTTTACTGCCTTTATTGCCTTCGATGTGTTTGCTTACCTTTGACAGTTACAGTTAGCATCTTTACCAGTTTATTCTCTTTATTCTTCTTGATTGCTCTTTCAGTGTTTTTTCCAGCACTGCATTTTCAGTCGTTTGTGAACTTCTTCTGTTTTATCAATATCTATTTTCCCTTCTCCTCTCCTTTCTGTTTTTTAAAAAAATTTTTTTTTTTTTCAACGTTTATTTATTTTTGGGACAGAGAGAGACAGAGCATGAACGGGGGAGGGGCAGAGAGAGAGGGAGACACAGAATCGGAAACAGGCTCCAGGCTCTGAGCCATCAGCCCAGAGCCCGACGCAGGGCTTGAACTCACGGACCGTGAGATCGTGACCTGGCTGAAGTCGGACACTTAACCGACTGCGCCACCCAGGCGCCCCGTTTTTTAAAAAGATGAGGGAATTTTAAAGTAGTTACATAAAATTCTCCAAGTGTTTTATGAGGGAGACACTCCCCTGTTCCTGTAGGAATTTTTGAATAGGGACAACTTGTCTGGAATGCAGTTTTGGAACTTGCATCAAGTTTTATATTTGTTTACATTTTTTTGAGCTGTGATTGATCATAAGGAAATAATCCAAATTTTGGATGTATGTCTGCATATAAAAGCAATCATAGTTTTATATCTAATTGTGAAAAATTGGAAAGTCCATGTCCATAGTAATGCAGAGTTTAAATGAATTATGATATATCCATGGAATGGAATATTATGCAGCTATTAAAGTGTTTATAGAGTGTTTTAGTGGTATGAGAAGGTATAAATGCTAAAGGAATAAGAATCATGATTAAATTGTGTAAGTGGCTTAGTCTTAATTAGTTAAATGTGTTTATTGTGTGTATGGGTGATGTCAATATAAATTTATTCGGAACATATCTGAGTATTTTCACAATCAGAAAAATATACTGTATTTTTGAAAGGTATTTAGGATTTGATAGTGTTCATCAATAGAAATTATTAAGATAGGCTTGTAGTATGATTCAAACAGGCACAAGATTACATATTTATGACAATGTTCAAATTTTATCATGGCATGGGGTGCCTGGCTGGCTCTGTCAGAAGAGTGTGTGACTCTTGATCTCAGGGTTGTGAGTTCAGGCTCCACACTGGATATAGAGACTACTTAAAAATAAAATCTTAAATAGATTTTATCATGGGTAAAACATAGCTACTAAATGTAAGACTGAACTAATGAACAATACCTTGTCGATTTTATAAATGTAGGGCTTTTTTTAATTATAAAAAATATATACTGTTGTACAAAACTGAAATAATATAATGGTATTTAAAGTGAATACTGAAAATTCCCGGTGTATCCACTTATTTACTTTTAACACAAATAGGTTCATACTATACTATTTTGGAGTTTTTTAACATAATCATGTCATTCTTCCCTTAACTTGAAGACTATTCCTTGTAAATGTATGTGGGTTTAAGAAAAGCAGAAATTAAGAACAAGATCATAATGGTAAATTTGCCTTTGTTGGCCTTTCTCCTTCATGAAATCCATAATTGAAAATAGAACCTCTGAAACAGGGAAATTTTATAATTATATAGAACAACTAAGATATTTTTTTCTTCAAATCTTCCTGTGTGTGTGTGTGTGTGTGTGTGTGTGTGTGTGTGTGTTTTAATTATGGTACTATATTTTTATATAATAGGCACAGGTACAATGTCAACAGCAGCATGAACAACAGAAGAAAGATTTAGAAATCCTCCATCAACGAAACATCCAGCAGCTACAAAACAAATTATCTGAGTTAGAAGCGGCTAATAAGGACCTAATGGAAAGAAAATATAAAGGAGACTCTACCATCAGAGAACTGAAAACAAAACTCTCTGGTGTTGAAGAGGTATTGAACTTTGAGTTTGTTCCCCCCACCACCAATTTAAAATAGTGTTTTAGTTTGGTGACTTTATTACTTGTATGCATGGTGTTTCTCTAATGCTTTGCAAGGCTCTCTTGGTGGTGTTAGGGTAATCAGTTCAGACAATGCAAAAAAATTGAGAATCTAAAATCTGATAGAAAATGATAATTCAGAACAGAACTGAGGTAAAATTGGATATTTTTAGTTAAGGTTTTGAGGGGTAGGTCATTAGCACAGTGATCAGTGTACTTTTAATATCCTCACAGTGTCTATGGGTCCGTATATTCAGTGTTGACAGGACTGGTTCTTTCAGCCTACCTAACATACCAAACAACTATATGAAGTTGTGTCTAATAATAATAATGATACTTTATTAGTAATGATAGTAGCTACGCTTACTGAACACATGCTATGTGACAGGCACTGTGTAACTATTTTACATATAGTAAACCATTTAATTTTTGTAACAATTCTTTTATTTATTTATTTATTTTTATTTTTTTAATTATTTTTTTTTCCAATTCTCTTAAAGAAGGTACTATTAACGCCATCTGATAAACTAAGGCACAGAAAAGTTAAGTAACTTGCCCAAGGTCACATAGCCAGTAAGTAGAAGAGAAAGGATTGGAACCTCTATTATTTGCTTGTCTTTAGAACTCCCTTGTTCTTTCAGTCAACAGAGACATTTCTTAAATCTTGCTATAGTGACACATTGTTGATGCTTTGGCCCTGATATTAGACTCCTTCCTAGCATTATTATACATTAATGTCATGAATTAATCAGAAAACGTAGATTTTGTTAAATCTATCGTATATTTTTTAAATTTTTTTAATGTTTACTTATTTTTGAGAGAGAGAGTGGGGGAGGGGCAGAGAGAGAGAGAGAGGGAGACACAGAATCCAAAGCAGAGACACAGAGTGGGGGAGGGGCAGAGAGAGAGAGAGAGGGAGACACAGAATCCAAAGCAGGCTCCAGGCTCTGAGCTGTCAGCACAGAGCCCCATACGGGGCTCGAGCCCACAAGCTGTGAGATCATGACTTGATCTGAAGTCCGACGCTTAACTGATTGAACCACCCCAAGTCTATCATATTTAAAGATCACCAGGGGCGCCTGGGTGGCGCAGTCGGTTAAGCGTCTGACTTCAGCCGGGTCACGATCTCGCGGTCCGTGAGTTCGAGCTCCGCGTCGGGCTCTGGGCTGATGGCTCAGAGCCTGGAGCCTGTTTCCGATTCCGTGTCTCCCTCTCTCTCTGCCCCTCCCCCGTTCATGCTCTGTCTCTCTCTGTCCCCCCCCAAAAAAAATAAATAAACGTTTAAAAAAAAAAAAATGCTCACCAGTGTTACTTGGGCTCATGACACTTCCCATTCCATTTCACCAGTCTCTTGTGCTTAGGAAACTCTAAAGCCTGACTTGATGCTCACTGCCGTTTATTATTTAGTATGTACCAGGCATTATGGTAAGCAAGGTGCATTAGGGTTCTTATGAAGATTAAGTGAAGTAATTGATGAAGTGTTAATTCTGTTTTACAAATGAGGGAGCTGAGATTTATGTTAAAATAATTCCTAAGATTACACAGAAGAACCTAGATTTGTATTCAAATCCAGCAGAGTCTGCTTCTAAAACCACTATGGCATAATACTATAAAATTATTTTGTAAAGTTTTTGTTATGAAAGTTATGTAGGAATACTATATACAAGACTTGTGTATACTGGCATATTTGGTGATATTAGCTGATTCGGGAGTGATCTGCCCTAGATTTTTAATAACCCATTTTTAATTAACAATTATGTTTGCTTGTTTTTGTTTTAAAGAGTGAACCAAGAGGGAATCCAGAAGTGCTAACAAATTTATTGACATGGAAAGATATTTGTAATATTTAAAGAAGTTAGATTATAAAACTGCACAGTATGAGCACTTTCTCAAAAAAATCCATGTATATAAAAAGCGCAAAATGTTAACTCTAGGTCATAGCTACCATCCTTGGCTAACCTTCGGATCAGTTGGAGAATGCTCAAATGCCCTAGTGCCCAGGACATACCTCATACTAACTGTAAATAAGACTCTCTTGGGGAGGGTACCAGGCACCAGTAGTTTTTAAAGCTTCCTAGGTGATTTCAACATGCATAGTAGCTTGAGAACCACTGCTTACGTCGTAGAATGCTAGGGCTTTTTATTTAGTTATTTATTTTGTGTTTTTGAAATTCTGTTATAATGGGTGTTTATGACAAATGATTTTTTTTTAAGTGTAAATTTAAAGATACCAAAAAATCCTTGTTACTAGTTTTTTAGAGTTGTAGTAATTTATTCATAAATGAGGATTATTTTCCTTGTTGTCAATGAATTAGATATTAGTATATTTTACAATTATTATTCAAATCTACAAGTTACATATACCTTTAGAGGGATATCCAAATCCTTTTTTTAAAAATCAATACTAGAACTTTAAAATTATTAAAGGTATTTTTAAAATATTTTAAACATCTTAATTATAAATAACCATAATGGGCCAACTCCTCTTTTTTATGCTGCATTTTTTTTCTTTCTGTAGGAGCTCCAGCGGGCTAAGCAAGAAGTCCTCTCTTTGCGAAGAGAAAATTCTACCCTAGATGCTGAATGCCATGAAAAAGAAAAGCATATTAATCAGCTACAAACAAAAGTGGCTGTTTTAGAACAGGAAATCAAGGATAAGGACCAGCTTGTTTTAAGAACAAAAGAAGCATTTGATACAATCCAGGAACAAAAGGTCTATTTAAACATTTTTGAAACAAATTGATGATTACATTTACAAGTGATGCTTTTCTTAAACACAAGCATCTTATTAATTATTCATGTTTTTAAAAATATGTATCAGGTGGCTTTAGAAGAAAATGGTGAGAAAAATCAGGTACAACTAGGAAAACTTGAAGCTACAATAAAATCATTATCAGCGGAACTTCTTAAGGTTCGTTTTTAAAAATAACAGAATATTAAATTTCATTGGAATAAGTAGAGATATACATATGAAGCTCTTTTACAGGCAAATGAAATTATCAAGAAGTTGCAGGGAGATCTGAAAACTTTAATGGGTAAATTGAAACTGAAGAATACAGTAACTATTCAGCAAGAGAAACTCTTAGCTGAGAAGGAAGAAAAATTACAAAAGGAACAAAAGGAATTACAAGATGTTGGACAGTCTCTCCGAATTAAAGAGCAAGAGGTGGTGAATATTTTCTGTTTTTGCATGTGTGACTATTTGCAAAGTTTAACAAATTTTCTTAGATGTAGATTTTAAATTTCCATTTTGTTATATTCGAGAATATCTTTGACTCCCCCCACCCCCCCCAACCTTTCAACAGAAGTTAATGTGTTACAACCTGAAAAGTTAGTTATCATGACTCAGGTACCTTGAGTGTTCATATATATGTACCGTATATGTGTATATACATATATAGATACACAGTTACACAGGAGAGCTATAATTCATTCTATTTAATAACAGTTAACAGTAATCAATTATTAATAGAAATACGTTTCAGTTTTTATTTAATTTTTATTATACTTATGAGGATTGACATATTTCAGGTATGCAAATTACAAGAACAATTAGAAGCTACAGTTCAAAAACTTGAAGAAAGCAAACAGCTTCTAAAAAATAATGAAAAGTGTAAGTATTTTAACTTTTTTTTAAAAAAAAAAGTTTTTTTAACATTTATTTATTTTTGAGACAGAGAGAGACAGAGCATGAATGGGGGAGAGTCAGAGAGAGAGAGGGAGACACAGAATCTGAAACAGGCTCCAGGCTCTGAGCTGTCAGCACAGAGCCTGACGCAGGGCTTGAACTCACGAACCGCGAGATCATGACCTGAGCCGAAGTCAGATGCTTAACCGACTGAGCCACCCAGGCGCCCCTTAACTTTTTATGTAGAAGAAGTTTGTAACTGTACTCTTAATCTGAAAATGTTATTTGAATTCATAAAAGTCCAGGTAGATCAAGATACTGCTCCATACAGATAATTTCTGTTTTAAATATACTGTCTCCATGTCTTTGCTACAGTAACTTATATATCAGCTGCCCTGTAAAACGGTTACCATTCTGAAGAAAACCATATTACATGTGTCAGTAACCCAAAATTAAGTGTTGAAAATATTAATGATAACTTAAGTTCTTCACTGATTAAAGTTCTTCACTACACCTTGTTTAATTGCTGTATTTACCTAATAGTAACAACATGAATTATTTGAAACCAAAATATAAGATCAAGCCTATAACATTTTCTCAGTGTTTAGTATTGGTTATCAGATAAGAGTGGGAACTTTAAGTAAACTAAGATATTATTCTAGAAATGAAAGCCTTGAAAGAGATCCTTGACCAGCAGAAATACATGTTTCAGATTGTAATAGGTTAAGGAGTTGTATGTGGTGGTTGCTCAAATAAGAGTCTTTAATGACAAAAATTTAGGTAAACCTGTAGTCTCCTGTGATATAAGGTAATCTTAAAGACTTAACATTTTAAAAATCTCAGTATAATTTTTAAATGTTTAAAGTAATTAGAAAAAAATAATCAAAATTTTTTATCTTGTTTTGTTCTTTTATTTAAGTAATCACATGGTTAAATAAAGAACTAAATGAAAATCAGCTAGTGAGAAAGCAAGATGTATTGGGACCATCCACCACTCCGCCTGTACATTCGAGCAGCAACGCAATCAGAAGTGGGATTTCTCCTAATTCTAATGTGGTAAGATTTAAACTAAGGTGTGAGCGGTCATTGGGGTGTCTGGATGGCTCAGTCGGTTAAGCATCTGACTCTTGATTTTGGCTCAGGTTATGGTCTCACAGTTCGTGAGTTCGAGATATGTGTGGGGCTGCAGAATCTGCTTGGGATTCTCTTTCCCTCTCCCGTTTGTGCGCACGCGCGCGCGCTCACTCTCTCTCTCTCTCTCTCTCTCTCTCTCTCTCTCTTTCTGTCTCAAATAAATAAACTTAAAAAAAAAATGATGTGAGTGGTCTTAGTACATTTCCTAAAACAAAAATATTCCCAGACTGGGAGGAAGTTTCCATGACTTCAGGTGCCGGTACTAATATGCATACTTCAGGTATGCAAATTATAAGAACAGTAAGACATGGGATTTAAACTTTAAAGAGTCCTACAGTTATTAGCACAGTTATTATTAGAGTCCTGCAGTTACTAGTCCTATAGTTATTGGAAGTGTGACATAGGTATACTTGCTCTTAGCAAAGAGGCTATTTTTCAAGGGCACACTTCTTTTTAAGATTTTATTCATATAGAAATCACTCATAACTAAAGTAATGCCACATGTGCTGAAAAGCTTACAGTATTCACGGGGCCTTAAGAAGGGAGAATAGGCTTTGGGCTCAAGTTTGGAACTGTGACGGATGGAGCCTAAACTGAATTCTATTTGAAAAATAGGAGGTGGGGGGGCAGAGAGAGAAAGAAGTGTCCTTTTATCAAGCTTGTCAGTTCTAGATTCCCGAAGGAACTAGTTAGGAAATATAAGCTTTCTAGCTCCCAGTACCAGGAGCTTTTTCCTTGCAAGAAATTAGGGGAAACAGAAGAGCAGCTCCTTATGTCTGGGAGCTGGCTTGCTGCTATCAGCAACGCCCCAGTGTTGCTAGGAGAGCTGTCCTGGCACTCACAACTAGGCATTGGGGCTCTCCTGTTGAACAAACAATATAACAGAAAATCAACATCAGGCAAGGCCACTTTGTGACTGTGACGGATCAAGACAAAAACAAGACCACCTCATAATCATGTCAGACCACAATTTTAAAAAAATCATTGCCAAGCCACAAAACCACAAGTTTTCTCCTATCCTGGCTAATGTGGTTGGTTGTTGCTTCATTACCAATTATTGTTTTGGCCTTAGTACATTCTTCCTGACTTACAAGGTTTATTTCAGATAGTCACACAGTTATCCTTATTTACAGATAGCATCCAACCCACAACAAAGCCACACTTTATTAAACTCTCCCTTAAACCACCTAACACATAAGTCCAATAAATAAGTCCCTTTAACACCTTCATACTGCCACATCCCTTTTACTAGGTTCCCCACAGTGTGCAGTCTCCATTGTTTGCAAGGAGCAGTAAACCCAGGGTGTCACCTAAAGATACGTTTCTGGTAGTTTTTGGTTGGAGAGCACTGGCAGAGGATTTAAAATGTAAATACTTAATTGAAGTTTAAATCTATCCCAATAAATCAGGTAGTACTTAATCAGATAGTACTTGATGTTTAAAGAGAGGAATGGATTTTTGCTAAATAGAAAAAGGTGTAGAAAGAAGTGCCCACTGCTGAATGACAAACTTGAAAAAATTTGACAGGCTTGACCTTCATGACTTTGTAAAAGGTATTTTTTGTCATGTAAGCACTGGTGTACGTAATTGCTTCCTAAGATTTGTGTTTCAGTTGCGCTCTTATAAAAATAAACTGTTTTCGTAACATTGGTTAATGGTGGTGTCACCATATTGAAAATCACTGACTAAAAGCCAGTTATTGTGTCAGGTAGTCCATGTAAGAACATGTCTTGGGGTCCGTGGGTGGCTCAGCTGGTTAAGTGTCTGACTTCGACTTAGGTTGTGATCTCACTCTTCGTAAGTTCAAGCCCCATGTCAGGCACTGTGCTGTTTATACTCATTTTGGTGGAAAATTATTTTTATTTTATATCTGATTGGCTTATTGAACTGTGACTCCATCCTTCCAGCATCCCTATTTTTAGGAATGGAAGGCCTGTAGGGAACCCAGGTGTTCAGAGAGGTTTAGAGAGGCCGCTGTTTGAACTCCGTTCAAAGCCAGATCCAATGGTTGACTTTGTCAAGCTTGTATAGCCACTCTTTTTTTTTTTTTAATTTTTTTTTTCAATGTTTTTATTTATTTTTTTTGGGACAGAGAGAGACAGAGCATGAACGGGGGAGGGGCAGAGAGAGAGGGAGACACAGAATCGGAAACAGGCTCCAGGCTCCGAGCCATCAGCCCAGAGCCTGACGTGGGGCTCGAACTCACGGACCGCGAGATCGTGACCTGGCTGAAGTCGGACGCTTAACCGACTGCGCCACCCAGGCGCCCCATATAGCCACTCTTTAAAAAGCCTTAAGGTATCCTAGCCTCATGCTATGTAATAAAGCAGAGTTTTGGTGTCATGATAAGATTAGCCTCTAAGATAGTACTCAATTATTATAACAGATGCTGACGCCTCCTGGATTGGCAGATACTAATGTCTCCTCCTTAACCTTTTTTATGTTTTTATTTTTAGGTTGATGGTAGACTTACTTACCCAGCCTGTGGGATTGGTTATCCTGTCTCCTCTGCATTTGCATTCCAGAATACCTTTCCTCATCCTATATCTGCCAAAAATAACATCCATCCAGTTTCAGGACCAAAGGTAGACACATTAATACCTTTTTGAGGCAAGGTGTAGCAACTTATTAAATATTTTTAATTTTAAAAATTACCTTAGCCTTTGATCACTTGCTAAGTATTGAATATCTAGTTCATTCTTATAGGAAATACTATCTGCTCTATATGGTATTTCTTGAATCTCTGTAATTTATAAAATGGTAGACATCAGTATGCTTAAACTTGATTCCTATTCAACCTCTTTCTCCATTTTATTCATTCTGTGTTTAATCTTTTACAACTCAAACTTAACTAGGATTATTGACTTCATACTGTTGATGTATTAACTATGGTGACCTTTTTGGATCCTTTTGCTAGGATTTAAAGGTCTGCAAAGGCAGGATTATAGCAGATTCTACAGTGTAGTTCTGGCAACATCTTAAATAGCATAGGGCTAACATTTCCTCAAATCTGATTTATTTGCTGAGACTTTTTTCCTACCCGCTTGAGTTCTTCATTGTCATTGTTATTACTAATGTCTTAGGTTTATATATTGTTTTCATATGTATAATTTTATCTTCACAATAATTCCATCCACCAGACCAACCACTGATTCCGTTTCATTACTAACTTTAGGTCAAAAAATTTTTTTTTTCCTAAATCTTGGGGCGCCTGGGTGGCTCAGTTGGTTAAGCGTCCGACTTCAGCTCAGGTCATGATCTCGCGGTCTGTGAGTTTGAGCCCCGCGTCGAGCTCTGTGCTAACAGCTCAGAGCCTGGAGCCTGTTTCAGAGTCTGTGTCTCCCCCTCTCTGACCCTCCCCCGTTCATGCTCTGTCTCTCTCTGTCTCAAAAATAAATAAACATTAAAAAAATTTTTTTTAAAAATCTTGAAGACAAACTTTTAAAAAAAAATTTTTTTAAATGTTTATTTATTTTTGGCAGAGAGAGACAGAGCATGAGCTGGGGAGGGGCAGAGAGAGAGGGAGACACAGAATCTGAAGTAGGCTCCAGGTTCTGAGCTGTCAGCACAAAGCCAGACACGGGTCTCGAACTCACAGACCACGAGATCATGACCTGAGCCGAAGTCGGACACTCAACTGACTGAGCCACCCAGGCGCCCCAAGACAAACATTTTTGAAAAGAATATTTTATAAAATAACTGAGGACTTTGAAATTGCTATTATAAACCCTTTCTCAAAAGAAACCTGCGTGGCTTAGTCGATGAAGTGTCTCTTAATCTTGGCTCAGGTTGTGATCTCACTGTTCGTGAAATCAAGCCCTGTGTCAGTCTCTGCACTGACAGTGTGGAGCCTGCTTGGGATTCTCTCCCTCCCTCTCTGCCCCCTGCTTGCCTGTGTGCTCTCTAAAAATAAATAAACTTACAAATAAACGCTTTGTTAAATTAGTTTTTGGCTGCTCTAAAAATAAGCTGCCTGTGTTGCTTAGGCATATGCCTTTTTGCCAAAGCCTTATTAACTGTCGTCTGGAGCTATTGAGAATTCTCAATGAAATGAGAACTAAACCTGAGTTTTATGCTTAGAATATCATTATGTAAAGAGTATTTAGATGCACTTAGGTGGCTTTTCTTGCATTGCTTGTTAAAGAGCATTAGATATGTGTGTTCAGAGCATTACTATTGTTTTTTTACAATGTTAAGTAACTCTTGTACTGTTCATTAACTTTATTTGTCCATATTTTATTTTTAAATTTTGATTCCAGTATAATAAATATAGAGTGTTATATTAGTTTCAGGTGTATAATGTAGTGAATCAACAATTCTATGTATTACTCAGTGCTCATCAAGATGTACACTTTGAGAATGCAAGCTGGTGCAGCCACTCTGGAAAACAGTATGGAGGTTCCTCAAAAAACTAAAAATAGAACTACCCTACGACCCAGCAATAGCACTACTAGGTATTTATCCAAGGGATACAGGTGTGCTGTTTTGAAGGGACACATGTACCCCAATGTTTATAGCAGCACTATCAACAATAGCCAAAGTATGGAAAGAGCCCAAATGTCCAGTGACGGATGAATGGATAAAGAAGATGTGGTGTGTTTGTGTGTATACCACAGAATATTATCGGCAATCAAAAAGAATGAAATCTTGCCATTTGCAACTACATGGATGGAACTGGAGGGTATTATGCTAAGTGAAATTAGAGAAAGACAAAAATCATACGACTTCACTCATATGAGGACTTTAAGAGACAAAACAGATGAACATAAGGGAAGGGAAACTAATATAAAAACAGGGAGGGGGACAAAACAGAAGAGAGTCATAAATATGGAGAACAAACTGAGGGTTACTGAAGGGGGTGTGAGAGGGGGGATGGGCTAAATGGGTAAGGGGCATTAAGGAATCTAGTCCTGAAATCATTGTTGCACTATATGCTAACTAATTTGGATGTAAATTAAAAAAAATAAAAAATAAAAAAAAATAAAAGATGAAAACAAAAAAAGACTAGCGAATACTGGAAAGTTTCAAGGGCAAAAATAAATAAATGTATACTTAATCCTCTTCATTAATTTCATCCATCCCTACTGACCCCCCTCTGGTAACCATCATTTTGTTTTCTGGTTTATCTCTTTTTTTTTTCCTTTGCTTGTTTTGTTTTTTAAATTCCACATGAGTGAAATCATGGGTATTTGTCTTTCTTTGACTTATTTCACATACTATTATATCTTTTAGCTCCATCCATGTTATTTATTGCAAATGGCAAGATTCATTCTTTTTTATGGCTGAATAGTATTCCAGTGCTTGTGTGTGTGTGTGTGTGTGTGTGTGTGTGTGTGTGTGTGTGTGTGTGTGTTGCATCATCATGACCCTTTTATCTCTTGATGGATCACTTGGGTTACTTCCATAATTTGGCTATTGTGTATAATGCTGCCATAAACATAGGGGTATATATATCTTTTTGAATTAGTATTTTCATATTCATTGGGTAAATACCTGATATTTACTGGATCATATGGCAATTTTCTTTTTAATTTTTTGAGGAACCTCCATACTGTTTTCCACAGTGGCTGCACCAGTTTGCGTTCCTAACAACAGTATATGAGGGTTCCTTTTTCTCCACATCCTTGCCAACATCTGTTTTTCCTTTCTTTTCTCTTTTCTTTTCTTTTCTTTCTTTTCTTTTCTTTTCTTTTCTTTTCTTTTCTTTTCTTTTCTTTTCTTTTTAATGGTTTCTTGAATATTATTGTTTCTTTATGAATATCTGCATATTCAAGTGTGATTGCATCTTGGGATCAAATTTTGTCTTGAGAATTATGATTGAGGGGCGCCTGGGTGGCGCAGTCGGTTAAGCGTCCGACTTCAGCCAGGTCACGATCTCGCGGTCCGTGAGTTCGAGCCCCGCGTCAGGCTCTGGGCTGATGGCTCAGAGCCTGGAGTCTGTTTCCGATTCTGTGTCTCCCTCTCTCTCTGCCCCTCCCCCGTTCATGCTCTGTCTCTCTCTGTCCCAAAAAATAAATAAAAACGTTGAGAATTATGATTGAATTGCTTTTTCATTTTTTTCTAACTTTTTTTTTTAATTCCAGTTAGTTAACAATGTTATTAGTTTCAGGTGTACACTACAGTAATTTAGCAGTTCCATACATCACTGCGTGCTCATCACAAGTGCACTCCTTGATCCCCACCACCTATTTAACCCATCTCCCCTTCCCCCTCTCCTCTGGTAGCCATCAGATTGTTCTCTGTAATTAAAAGTCTTGTTTCTTGCTTTGACTCATTTTTTTCCTTTGCTTGTTTGTTTTGTTCCTAAATTGCACGAGTGAAATCATATGGTATTTGTCTTTCTCTGTGATGTATTTCATTTAGCATTACAATCTCTAGTTCCATCCATGTCGTTGCAAAAGGCAAGATTTCACATTTTTATGACTGAATAATATTCCATTTTGTATATGTACTACATCTTTATTCATTTATCATCAGTTGGTGGACACTTGGACTGCTATAAACATAGGGGTGCACGTATCCCTTTGAATTAGTGTTTTTGTGTTCTTTGGATAAATATCCAGTAGTTTGGTTGCAGGATCATAAGGTGGTTCTATTTTTAACCTAAAAAAAAAAAGTTTTTTATTTTGAGAGAGAAACAGAGTATGCGCGTGCATGAGTGAGGAAGGGGTGGGGTGGGGGGCTAAGGAGAGCATCCCAAGCACCCTCCATGCTGTTAACACAGGGCCCAATGCAGGGCTCAAATCCATGCTGTGAGATCAGGACCTGAGCCAAAATCAAGAGTCGGGCACTTAACCAGCTGAGAACTTTATTCTAGTTGCTCTTTTAAATTGCAGCTTTTTTCTTGTTTCCCAAGGTGTCTGGAAGTGGTGTGGGCTAGGAGCTCAGGGCTGGCTGAGGTACCCTGTCCCCTGTCTGCGCTATCAAGGTGGAGGGGGAATGTAAACAGTCCTCACCAGCCCTTGTGGCTCGGAGAGGGTACAGCAGCTCTCTTGCTTTTGGCAGAATTCTAGGACTTGATCTTTTTTTTTTTTTTTTTTTCTTCAACGTTTATTTATTTTTGGGACAGAGAGAGACAGATCATGAACGGGGGAGGGGCAGAGAGAGAGGGAGACACAGAATCGGAAACAGGCTCCAGGCTCTGAGCCATCAGCCCAGAGCCAGACACGGGGCTCGAACTCACGGACCGCGAGATCGTGACCTGGCTGAAGTCGGACGCTTAACCGACTGCGCCACCCAGGCGCCCCTCTAGGACTTGATCTTTTATATTCTAGCTCTTCTTTTAATCTGAGGCTTCTTTCTGTGCGTAGGGCAGGTGAATCAGCTCACAGTTACTCAGTACTATCCTTCCCCAGTGTAGTTCGCAGTGTTGACATTGGGTGTTTCCCTTTCTTACCCTGTCTCCACCTTTTGCCATTCTCTGTCTATATTTGTTATGCACAAGTTGTTCATTCAGCCTTCAGCATCTTCAGGAGGAATTGCTCTATAAAGAGGTAGATTTGGTGTGTCTCTGGAGGAGGTGAGTTCAGGGTCTTTCTACATTGTCCTCTTCCTACGTTGCCATCAAAATCAACAAGTTTCTGTTTCCTTTCAGCATTTTGAAGAGGTTATCCTGTGTTGCCTGGATTGAATAGTTTCTGGCAAGTCATTAGTAGTCATTTTTTTAGCACTTTTCCTCTTTAGAAAGTGACTTTTTCTCTGGGTGTTTTTCACATTTCCTTTTTTTTCATTTTTTTCAGCAACTTATTTATAATATATTTTGGTGTGGTACATGTATATCATTATCCACTTAGGGCTTTTATTGAGGATCTGTGTATCAGGGGTTTATGGTTGACAACTTGGAAAATTCTGGTCATTATTTCTTCACTTTTTTTCCTATTATTTTCTTTCAATATTCCATTTATACATGGTTGATCCCATATTTTTCTGTTGAGACTGTTCATTATTTTATGCTTTTACAGTCAAATGCTATGTTTTAAAGTCACCTATCTTTTTTTTTTTTTCTGCAGTGTTTAATATGCTGTTATTTCTGTCCAGTTAGAAATTTGTGTTTGAGGTATTGAATTTGCCATCGCTGCAAGTTCCATTTCATTCTTTTTTATATTTTTCATTTTTCTCATACTTTCAATTTCCATTAAATTCTTTTTGATCGTTATCTTTGTTCTAACATCTCTGTCCTTGTCCTGTTATCATTTCTGTCATTTCTGGATCTGTTTCCATTGACTCTTTCCTTGGTGTTACATTTTCTTAATGTCATCTCTAGTAATTTTTGATAGACTGTGGAACACTGTCAGTGGTTATGTGTTTTGTTATCTTCCTTTAAAGAGTGGCTGGTAGGATTGCCTGGGTGGCTCAGTTGGTTAAACTTCCAAATTCATCTCAGGTCATGATCTCATGGTTCATGAGTTTGAACCCTGCATTGGGCTCTGCACTGACAGCTCAGAGCCTGAAGCCTGCTTCAGATTCTGTGTCTCCTGTCTCTCTGCCCCTCCCCTGCTCATATCCTGTCTCTCTCTCAAAAATAAATATTTAAAAAATTTTTTTTCTTAATAAAATAAAGAGTGGCTGGTATTTAAGTTAGTTGTGGGTTCCCTTGATCCCTTTGGAGCATTCTAGGTTTCTTTCATTTTTTTTTTCTTTAGCTTTACTTGGGTGCATCTAAAGTAGCTTTTACTCAAGAGATAGTTCAGCCCTTCTACAAAGCTGTGATCCTTTGTGGCTCTTCACTGAATGCCCTAAATGATTACCATGTGTCTCCATGATTATGAACCTTAGAAATTGTTCATGTGAAAATTCCCATTTCTTTTTTTTTTTTTTTTTTTAACTTTTTTAATGTTGATTGATTTTTGAGAGAGAGAGAGCGTGAGCGAGCAGGGCAGGGGCAGAGAGAGAAGGAGACACAGAATCCGAAGCAGGCTCCAGGCTCTGAGCTGCCAGCATAGAGCCCACTGTGGGCTCGAACCCACGAAGTGTGAGATCATGATCTGAGCTGAAGTCAGATGCTCAACCGACTGAGCCACCTAGGCACCCCTCCCATTTCTTTTTTTTAGTCTTGGGGCATTTTTCCCTATGCATGTGGCCAGTACTAAGCAAAAATTTTAAGGGATCCATGTGCAGATTTCCAGAGATTTTCCTTTATAGCTTCTTTCTCATCAGAATTCTGCCCTTTAACTTTCACTTACCCCAAACTCCCTAAATTCTGATGTTGATCTATGTTTTCCCTCTGTACCTGAATTTAGGGTGTGCCTCCAGTTGGAAAGCTGGGTCATTGATGGGGAATTACATTTCTCTCAAAGGTTACATACAACCTGTGCATTGTCTGTTCAGTATTTGAGACCATTCTTTTTATTTTGTACAGCTTTCTAATTTGTGATTGGTGCTGAAAATTATCTTATGAATTGCTATCTGATACTTTAATATTCCTCACCCATATGTCTTTTTTTTTTAATTTTTCAATGTTTATTTTTGTGAGAGAGAAACAGACTGTAAGTGGGGGAGGGGCAGAGAGAGAGGGAGACACAGTATCTAAAGTAAGTTCCAGGCTCTGAGCTGTCAGCACAGAACCTGATGTGGGGCTCAAACTCATGGACTGAGAGATCATAACCTGAGCCGAAGTTGGATGCTTAACCGACTAAGCCACCCAGGCACTCCATATTTGTTTTTCTATAAGGAATATTAGAGTCAACTTGTTTCACTTTAAAAACTCCTTTTTGTGTTTAAAGTTGTCATGTGAAATGCATGGATTAATGTAGGGAGAACTAATATCTTTGGAATATTGAAGCTTGATAGTACAGTAGTATATACCTTTTTTTTAATTTTTTTTTTATTTAAAAAAAATTTTTTTTTCAACGTTTATTTATTTTTGGAACAGAGAGAGACAGAGCATGAACGGGGGAGGGGCAGAGAGAGAGGGAGACACAGAATCAGAAACAGGCTCCAGTCTCCGAGCCATCAGCCCAGAGCCTGACGCGGGGCTCGAACTCACGGACCGCGAGATCGTGACCTGGTTGAAGTCGGACACTTAACCGACTGCGCCACCCAGGCGCCCCAGTATATACCTTTTTAATTTGTAGTTTTAACCTATGAAATTAGTATCTATCTATTCCTATTTTATTGACTTTTTACCAAAAGTAGATATTTTATGTTTTCTCCTGCCTTTTCCTTTTGTATGCAAGTGGTCATAATTTTTTTTTTCCATCTATTAGTTTGATTATGTGTATACATTTTTCTGATATAGAACCCATTTATAAATTCCTGGTGTGAAACATGCTCAGTCATCTATTTTAGTTTGGATTTTGTATAGATTCTTGGGTTACTTTTGTTTTAAAATTCTAATTCCTAGCCTTTCATTTAGAAACCATAAATATAACAGACTTTGAAAATTCTTGAAAAGGGAAGAATTCTCAGAATACATGCTGTAATACGCATCATTGTTATAAATAGGGAGAAAACTTTTAGAACTATGACACTTGCTTATTTAAAAATTTTTGGGGTGACTAGGTGGCTCAGTCGGTTAAGCATCCGACTTCAGCTCAGGTCATGATCTCGTAGTTCATGAGTTCAAGCCCCATGTCTGGCTCTGTGCTGACAGCTCAGAGCCTGGAGTCTGCTTTGGATTCTGTGACTCCCTCTCTCTCTGCCCCTCCCCGGCTCATGCTCTCTCTCAAAAAATAAATAAAAGTTAAAAATTAAAAAAAATTTTTTTTGAGTATATTTATTTATCTTGAGAGAGAGCGTAAGCAGGAGAGGGGCAGAGAAAGAATCCCAAGCAGTCTCTGCACTGTCAGCACAGAGCCTGCTAGGGGGGCGGTAAGCTCAAACTCGCAAACTGTGAGATTGTGACGTGAGCTGAAATCAAGAGTTGGATACTCCAGGTGCCTGGGTGGCTCAGTTGGTTAAGCGTTCGATTTCGGCTCAGGTCACGATCTCGCAGTTTGTGGGTTCGAGTCTCATGTTGGGCTCTCTGCTGACAGCTCAGAACCTGGAGCCTACTTCGGATTCTGTGTCTCCCTCTCTCTCTGCCCCTCCCCTGCTTGCTCTCTCTCTCTCTCTCTCTCAAAAATAAACATTAAAAAAAAAAAAAAGCATTGGATGCTCAACCAACTGAGCCACCCAGGTGCCCTGATACTTATTTAAGTGCTGGGGTTAGAAGGCATTGACCCCTGCATTGTCAAAAAATCATGTATAACTTTTGACTTCTCTCAAATTTAACTACTGTATTTCATATATATATGTATGTGTGTGTGAAAAAAATATATATATATATATATTTCCCCCTGTCTTCCCCATGAATGTATTTTATATTGTGATTGAAACATAAGAAGTTGCCAAATGATTACAAACAAAGGGAATGTAGAGGAAGCATACGGGTAGGCTGGACTCTCCCCTGCTTTTGGCACTCCTCATTCCACTCCCTGTGTGCATGGTTAGTTCACTGAGGCCTGAGCTGAGAGGCAGTAAAGGAACCGGCTCTGGAGAGAGATTCTTGCTGAAGTGGCAGGGCCAGTTACTGGTTGTAGTTGGGCAAGGATCACAGAACGAAAGATACCACACCACTGGAGGGTCTGGGGAAACCCCAGAACAACAAGGAGGGAGCCTGCAGTGAAGAGCAGGCAGGGGTGCCGTGCCGTCCACCATGGTGGATGTTCTCTGAGGTGGTGAGCTAAAATCCCCAGGGAACTAGCAGCTTATTGCTTGCCAGCATTTCCTGTAAGCAGAAACTAGGGAGTCAAGTGGATAAGGAGTAGGTGTTACTTCAGGATCCAGCTTTGCTAACTGGGCGGGGATGAGGAGACAGATGGTACTGCATTCTACTGGTGTACTGTATTTATTGACCAAAGTCCGTATAAATAGCCCCTACAGTTCAAACCCATGTTGTACAAGGATTGGCTGCATTAGTGTTTGTTTTTGTTTCAAAATAATTGTTAAGAGATCATGTTGCACTGTTCATCTTGCTTCTATCACAGGAATATTTTTGGCAAGGAGAAATAGGATTTTTGTTGTTGTTAAATCTCTTCAGGAAAATGTTCTTGTGTTATAAAATTACTTGTTGAACCTGTTCTTCTATGTTCTAGATACATGAGAAAGAAGTTTTAACCATCCATCTCCATATGGAACTGCCTCCGTTCTCACTAACTCAGTTACATGAGGTGTTTTCCCTCTTCACAGGTGCAGTTTAACTTGCAGTTTACAAAACCAAATACGTCACTAGGAGATGTTCAAACAGGAACAACTATTAGTATGCCTTGCTCAACTGATAAGGAAAAGTAAGTACTTGTCATAAAATTTAATGTTTGCACTTTTGAAAGTCATCCTAAATAATTTTTATCAGTGTTTGAAAGCTTTGATGCCCACTTATTTATCTGTGACATTTTAAGTTACTGATCAGTGGGATTGAAGCTAGAGTCACTTTTCTTTGTAAGAAATAGATTTCCCTGGGTGCCTTGGTGGCTCAGTTGGTTAAGCATCTGACTCTTGATTTTGACTCAGGTCATGGTCTCACCGTTCATGGGATCAGGCCCTGTGTTTGGCTCTATGCTGACAGCCTGGAGCCTGCTTGGGATATATTCATTCTCTCTCTCTCTCTCTCTCTCAAAATAAATAAACATTAAAAAAAGATTTTCCATAATTTTTTTAAACTGTAAGATACAGTTAAACATACAGTAAAATTTTATTTTTTAAGAAACTTTCCTTGGGGCGCCTGGGTGGCGCAGTCGGTTAAGCGTCCGACTTCAGCCAGGTCACGATCTCGCGGTCCGTGAGTTCGAGCCCTGCGTCGGGCTCTGGGCTGATGGCTCAGAGCCTGGAACCTGTTTCCGATTCTGTGTCTCCCTCTCTCTCTGCCCCTCCCCCGTTCATGCTCTGTCTCTCTCTGTCCCAAAAATAAATAAACATTGAAAAAAAAAATTTAAAAAAAAAATTAAAAAAAAAATAAATAAATAAAAAATAAAAAAAAAAAAAGAAACTTTCCTACATAACTGAAGATCTCCCTTTCATATGCTTTTGGGCAAGTAGATTAGAAATCTTTTTAATTCCTCTTACTTGGTGGTTTTTGTTTTTGTTTTCCTGTATGGCTGTGTTTGCCTCTGGAAAGCTCTCCATTTTTCTGAATTAATGCTGCTAGTGTAAAGTGCTCTGAGACGCCAGCTCTTTCAAACTGCTAGAATTCTTTGCTGAGAATAACAAGGCTTGTGAGATTGTCCCATACCTAACAAAATAAGCTTTAATTTGTGACTTCTGTTTTGCCTACTCAGAAATTCCTTCCTATTTTTTAGACCTGACACAGGTTTTACATAGTGAAGTTTGTAACGCATGAAAACTTGTTTCTGGGTATTCTTCATGTTTGTAATATTTTTTTTTTATTAACTCTTCTTAGTTAAAATTTAATCACTTTAAGGCCTGTCATGAGCTGGCTCTTATTCATTGGCTTCTAAAATTGGCACCAACGCTAGTATTATGGTAGTTGGTGAGCCTCTTTTTAAAAAAAAGTCAGAATTCTTTGAAGTCCTGAAATTTTTTATAATCTCACACTTGTTCAGGAGGTGGAGCACCTGCAAATCGTGTTAATGGTAGAACTTCGTGTTGATACAGTTAACTCTCATACACCCAACAGCAGTTTTACTTGCAGAAAATATGATGATCATATTTGTGGTACAAAATCAAACATAATCGTGTGTCCATAAAATAGGACTGGTCAGCTATTTTGACTGTTATATCTTTTAGTTTTGTTTTCCTTTATTCATTGTCAGCTAGGAAAAAGTGGCAGTGGATATCAAAGATTAAAAGTTAAAATTGAAGGAAATACCTGTTCACCCACTTAATTCTTCTCTGAAAATTGGAAAAAGACCATTTAATTTTAAGAATGTAATGTCATTGTTTTACAAGTGCCTTTAAATTCTTGTTATAAGGAACTACTAGAGAAACTTAACACTGGATGGATTTAGAAATTAGGACTATGGTAGTAGAAAAGGGTAATATATGACTACATAAATGCCCCTCCCTGTTTTTTCGCAGTTGATACTTGTATTTATCTGACTAGAATTCATTATTGTGTATTAATTTTAATAGTGTTTATTAGTGACAACTGAAGTATTAAAATTTTGAAGAGCTTTTGGCAAAGGAAAAATCTTACTCATTAAATACAAGATGAAATAGAAGTTGTTAAATAATAAGGGTATTCTTGAAGCATAAACATGTGTTTTCATCATGTATCATCACTTAAGTGCTGCTGTTTTACAATTTCATAGTACTAGACTTTCATTTGGCCTACATTCTTAAAAAGAATTTTTTTTTTTTAATGTTTATTTTTGAGAGAGAGTGAGTGGGGAAGGGACAGAGAGAGAGGGAGACACAGAATCTGAAGCAGGCTCCAGGCTCCTGTCAGCACAGAGCCTGACGTAGGGCTGGAACCCACGAACCACGAGATCATGACTTGAGCTGAAGTCAGATGCTCAAATCGACTGAGCCACCCATGCCCTACTAGCCTACATTCTTTATCTTAGCTCTTTGACTTATTAGTGCTACTTAGTTTACTGGGAAGAAGGGTATTTTGGCTTGTGGATAAATTGTTTGCTTAAGAAAGCACTGAAGAGGGGTGCCTGGGTGCTCAGTCAGTTAAACTCAGTCGTTTGACTCACGTCATGATCTCACAGTTCGTGAGTTTGAGCCCCGCTTCGGGCTCTGTGCTAATATAATAGCTCAGAGCCTAGATTCTGCTTAGAGTTCTGCAGCTCCTTCTCTCTTTGCCCTTCCCTGCTCACGTTCTGTCTCTATCTCAAAAATAAACAAACATTAAAAAGAAATTAAAAAAACACTGAAGAACAAAGCTATAAATATAACTTCAATTATTTTACATATAGTATATGTGTGTGTGTATATATATATATATATATAGATTAGACAAACCTTCAGAATTAACTATTAAGGTGAAAACAAGACTTTGTAAAAATAAATACTATTTTCCTTTCAAGTGGTGCAAATTTCGGGCTGGAATCCAAATATCTGAAGAAAAGGGAAGATAGCATTCCTTTACGTGGACTCAGCCAAAATCTGTTCAGTAATCCAGGTGAGAAGACATTGTTGAAATGGCTTGTACATTGTGGATTCACTGTATTATATAAAGACTTGGTGAATACAAATAATGTTTTTCTGTCCTCATTTGCAGACCATCAGAAAGATGGCACTTTCGGAGCAGTACAGACATCTTCAAAGCCCCCTGTGCTCCCTTCTGCACCGTCAGCCTATTTCCCTGGGCAGTTAGCGAACAGTTGATGCTAGTGTGACCTTTTACTTTTTATTGAAATTTTAGAAATTCACAGGGTTTAAAAATATATGAACAGCATAGATCAAATCCTAAGCCAAGCAAGTTTCCAAGGTTACTTGAGCTTAACGTATTAGATCGTTTGGATCCTTTTTAAAGGACCGCTGTCTTTTATGGCAAGCTAGAGGAGCCCATGGGGGATTCTGAGTGAGGATTCTGAGTAAATGACACTTTGTAGTGTGTGAACACGGTGTTTTATAGAATAGTATGAATTTTAAACGAATCCTTAGAAATTCTCAGAAGTTCCAAGGAAAGAGTTGGTCCTTTTAAGGGACATTCTAGTTCTATTGAGTATCTGGGTAAATGAAAACCTGCTCAGACAGAATATGAAACCAAAGAATGTTAATAATTCATTTTATTTTCATTGGTAAAATAAAAGTTTTGACACCTGAGAATTATGAGGGAAAATGATTATCTCCAAAGATAACCTATATTATTGATGTTTATAGTAAAGGGAAAAGTCCTAAAATTACCTTAAATGAATGAAAATAAATCCTTCATAGCAAATATTTTCCTTGCAACCTCTTTAAATTAGCTATTAAACAAGTCTACTTATTTTGATAAATTATAAAAATAATTTGGACAGCATATTTACATAACCAGATTAGGCAGAAAGTGCTTTTAATCATTTGAACTGTAAAGTTTATAGGATTTTAATGTTTTCTGGAAGTCTTGACACATCTATTTTTTTCTCTTTTTTGAATTTCATGAGTTTGTTTTGCAGTTACATCTGTATTAGAATATTTAAAAAATTAGTACTATAAAAAATACTGGAAGAGCATCATGAATATTCATTGTATTTTTTTATATCAATGGGTTCATTTTAACGTTTGCTTAATAAAGTAGGCAAATTGAATAACTGTTAGAAGTTAACAGCTGTTTTCCCTGTAACCAAGTGTTTCAAGTAAGAATTACTTTGAAAAAATTAGGTAAAAAAAAATTCACCCAGTATCGGAGGGTCCCCAATTTGTTTTCTTGCTGACCACCACCCAGTACAGAGCAGCATTCTCTTATGAAACCTATAAATCAGTTTTTGTTTGCAAAGATTGCTAATACTTGTGTGATATTTAAAAAACTATTTTGAAGAGGGGCGCCTGGGTGGCTTGGTTGAGCATCTGATTTTGGCTCAGGTCATATCTCAAGGCTCCTGAGTTTGAACCCTGCGCGTCGGCCTCTGTGCTGACAGCTCAGAGCCTGGAGCCTGCTTCAGATTCTGTGTCTCCTTCTCTCTCTGCCCTGCCACCCCCTCAGTCTCTCTCTTTCACAATAAAAATAAACATTAAAAAATTAAAAAAAAAAAAAACTATTTTGAAGGACCTCCCTCACCACACAGATGAAGAAAGAGACATTGAAGACATTAATGGCATACCAGTATCATTGGGTTCACGGTAAGACAGAGAATCTTTGCTAGTATTTTTCTGAAGCCACGATATTGAGTCCTATGATACCGTGAAACGTTGCTGGCAGTTGCAAGCAATCTTAACTAGGGGATTTATTCTAAAACATTTAGTAACCATTATGGGGTTGGATTTTTGTCATTTAAATGTACTATATTAATATTAGTAAGAATACTTGGTTACACTAACTTCAGAGCACTTCTAATCATCTGGAAAGTAACCTCTTGGTGGTAATCTTTCCTGTAAATATTATGTGATATGTATAAAACGTGACAGTGTTTGGATGGGATTTATTATCTACAAGTAGTTCTTTTTTATTTGAAATTGTTTTGCAGTGTACAGTTGTACATGTGTTAATAATCACCAGGTTGCAATGAACGTATTTCTGTAAACTCTGAGCTCTGTTAATAAAGTATTTATGGAGTGAGACATGTAAAAGTATATGAAAACATAAACCGGACTCATCTGCAACTACCGACTATGCTTAGAATTTACTTGCATTTAATTTATGGACCAGGGTTTCATTTCTTTTGTCCTCCTACAAGAGTATTTTGTAGTACAGGAGAAAAAAGGGATTGAAAGGGAAAAGGTGTAAAGCTTTGATTTGTTACTGTAAAAACGATGATGGTAACAAATAAAGCCCAAACAGACCTTCTAGGGAATCACAGATCAAGACTTTTCTTTTAAAAAAAGATCATTAAAATATTTAATTTTATTAACAGAATATTTACATTTCGTTTAAGACCTTATTTAACCATAGTGAATGTTCCAAGTTTAAAAAGCATTGCGCAATAACCACACACAAGATGAAAACAGTGTAAACTATACAATACTTTATGTACAATTTTTACAAAGTAACACTTTTTTAAATAATATAACTGGACACAAAAATATACACTTTAGAGAAATTCACATCAGGAATTGTATAAAGCTCTCTTCTAGGGTCCTGAAAATTTAGGACAAACATTAGCTCTGTAAATAAAGTGTTACTGTGACAGTCCTGAAAGGCCACTATATATATTTATCTACATACAGATATCACATTGACATTTTCAAGGCTACCAGCTTTACTATATAATTTTAGATTATGTATTCAAGTGTTGAGGTTCTTATGATTATGCAAACATTAAAAGAATAGTGGTAGAAGTAGCTGGGGAAACAAATTCGAGCCAGTGTTTAGATTTACAGACTCTACCCCAATTTAAATTCTAAATGGCTGATACTTTCTCATTTCAAAAACAGTGGTGAATGCTTTTAAAATAAAATTACTACAAACAGGCTTAAAACATGATTCAGATTTAGTACAATTTTCTTAAGTTTTTTTCTTTTTTTTTAAATGCAAACAGTTCATTTACCATTTCTTTACTTTAGTGCATCTGCATTAAGGCTTTGAATTATTTGACCCAAGATTTTACAATGTTAAAACTAACAGGTCCATAACCGTACTACCTACTCTGTCTCACTGTGAGTCAGCATAGAGTTAAAGCTCAACACCTGAAGGAAATGGTAGCAGAGACGTTGCTAGTATCTAAGAAGGTATGTATATAGTTTTTAATTAAAGGATGTATAATAAAACAAAAAAGCTTAGTGGCAAGAAATTGGTGCTAATAAACAAAAGGTTTCTTTTCAAAAGAAATTGTAACATCTTTGGAAAACTGTCCGGTTCTGGTTCTTTCTTTAGTTCCCACGAGTTCATGCAGATACATTTCTTAAGACAATCTTAAAGTACATTGAGATGGAAATGGAATGTACATCCAGAACTACAGGTGAAAACTAAGACCTGGGTGTGGTAGAAAAGTCTTCCTGATTTCAGTCATCACACATTCGTGTCCTGGAGTAAAGGTTCTTTGGCCTCTCCTGGCGCTTGTGTACTATGGGGATGGCTGTGACCACCACAGTGCTTTCTCCAGCTGCTGGACCGCAAGCTTAAATTGGTATGTTCTGGAATAAACAAGGCAACAAGCAGAGCCAGCAGTACGGAACAGGCTCCAAAGAGGAAGGGGGGGCCAGGGATGATCGAATTCTGAGGAAGGAAAAGAGAATTAGGATTTTTGTACAGAGCATCTCTGCTCTTAAGAACTGCTTATCTTTTCGTAGTAACAGACTGCCATGAATTATAAGCCAAGACCACCTCTCTTTCTCCATTAAAGCCATGGTTAGAACATGCATTTGCTTTTTAGAAGAAAAGGGACACGCTCACTATAATATCCTGAGGATAACAACTGATCCCAAGAAACAGCCAAAAGATTGTTTTAAAAACCGCCTATGCAAAAATATACTGTCATCACAAAATCGGAACACGTTCTATGAGCCTTCGCTTAATGTGTTCAAGATCTCAAGAGTAATAAAATTTATTATACACTATGAGCTACAGTAACAGAATCCATGACTATTTTCTTTAAAAGGTAAATATATTCGCTAGTAACTAAAGGTGAAGAAAATACAGCTAATGCTGTTACCATTAAGAATCAAACCTTTGTTTTAGTCCAAATTACATTCATTCTCAGCAAAAACTTGCACTGCCAGTTTAACCTGTGGATAGCCCACAAACAAACACTCATTTTCATTTAAAAGTAGTCTTAGCTGGTTAGATCAGTGTGGAACTCTGCTGAACAAGCAAGGAAAGTGATGCGCTGTTTGTATTGGCTAAAATGATCGTGTTTGCCGTTCACATTTTCAGTTGTATGGGGGGAAAGTACAGCAAACAAGTGAACAAAAGACGTTTATCAGCACCTAACTGACTTTTCGTACAGAAGGCAGGCTGAATATAGGGAACTCCCGCAGTACAAAAGTCCCAGATGAGACACAAATTGTACTACAGATAAACGGTTGTTAATCTATGCCGTTATGTGTAATAGGACAAACCAGAATGTTTAAACAATTCTCGAAGGAAAAGTTATGTCCAATTTCAAAAAGGGGTAGACAGGAGAACACAGTCCTTTTAGGCTTTGGTTTTTAAGTGTCGTAGATCTAAAATAATCTCACATAAAAACTTTAGTGACCAAAACCCATTTATCTTGTAATCCAGCCAGATGAACTATATTTTCACCATGTGAATGAGGAATTACCTGTTCAAAGTGGTGCTGTGGGCTTGTGTTTGTTCCCAAGTCTGTTCCTGTCATTGGCAGTTCTTTAAGTTCCACATGGAATATGTAGAAAATGAATCCATAAAGAGCTGGTCCCAGACCATTGCACAGTCCTCGAATTCCTGTTATCATTCCTTGAACAACACCTAAATCGTTTACACAAATTATGTAATGCTCTGCTTACTTTTTTTTTCCTACCTTAGAACCCATACAAACAGTAAGTCAATCTAAAACCAAAGCTTTCTTTGTGACACTAGCAATTTACTACGATGACATTAAAAAGTACTTAGAGGCCATCAGCTCTACAAAGCTTAAGCAGCAAATATGAAGTCAAGGTATACCCAACCCATACACAGGCCTACTTTAAATAAGTGGGCAAAAGCACTTTATTTCCCTTTGAAACATCGCCGGCTAAAAATAAGGCATTAGTTCACAAGCATAATTGTTAAAAACTGTCCCAAGCAGCTATTTAAGACCCCATTGCATCAAATATAGACCCTTTTTATAGAGTTTGGGTTGGGGTGCCTGGCAGGTGGCTCAGTCAGTTAAGCATCTGACTTTGGCTCAGGTCAGGATCTCAGTTTGTGAGTTCGAGCCCCACACTGGACTGTCTTATGTTGGCAAAGAGCCTGCTTCAGATCCTCTGTCCCTCTCTCTTTGCCCCTCCCCTGCTTGTTCTCTCTCTCAAAATAAATAAACTTAAAAAAAATTTTTTTTTAATTTTTTTTTTAACGTTTATTTATTTTTCAGACAGAGACAGAGCATGAACGGGGGAGGGTCAGAGAGAGGGAGACACAGAATCTGAAACAGGCTCCAGGCTCTGAGCTGTCAGCACAGAGCCCGACGCGGGGCTCGAACTCACGGACTGCGAGATCATGACCTGAGCCGAAGTCGGCCACTTAACCGACTGAGCCACCCAGGCGCCCCCCAAAAAAAATTTTTTCTTAAGAGTTTGGTTTTTTTTTCTCTGGGATCTTCTCCCAAATGTAAAATGCACTATGCTTTAGCCACAGGCCTTTCCTTTCTCATTTAGCAACCAAGTGATCATTGC